CTCCAAAAAGGTGCACCATTATAATCATCTATCCAACCTTCAAATATCTTTAATAGCTAGAGAAAACTATTCTAAATAATAAAAGTTAATGTATAAACTAAAAACTGAGATGCCAATGAAAGAAATGTGTGATTTTTTTTAAAGCTATTCAATTAAATTATCTTTAATGAAGTAGTTCCTAAATAGGACAGATTACAAGAAAATTTTTAAAAAGTCCTAAAAATAGGCTTTAAAATTTCACTTAGATTTTTATGTTCAAAAGTAACTACATCGGTGATTAAAGCTTTGAAATTATAAGCATGTTCTTAAGACAATGAACAATGGTTATATTTAGCTATCTGCTAGAATGTGTAAAATGCCTCATGAGTTTAATATAAAAATGAATTTTATAAAGTTCTCTAATTTAAATTAAGCCTTTTAGTGTATACAGAAGTAACATTTTCTAGAATTCATGAAGTCAAACTTCAGAGGAAGTTTAACCTCAAAAGTTTTTTCTCTACTGGCAAAGCAATGGGGAAATCGCACTGAAACTAGCTAATTGAGAATTTGGCCTTCCAAGTGATTTTTTATAAAACAAGTAGTTTGAATGTAAAGTTCTGATAATTGCTTTTATCCTCTATCTGCCTATGTATAAACAGTCCCCTTCCCCCAGAAAAGAAACCCAAGATATAATCTTGATGTAAGATAGAAATGTTAAAAACTTCTAAGAGCTGTGTCACCTAAGTGGTAAATTTATGAACAAAATACTTTTTACTAAGGACTTGAATACCACAACATACATCTTGAACAGAACTGGGGAGAGATTTTACTTTTTATTCTAAGATATTTTGGAAAATATGATGGTTAGGCTTTGATTTATTGGACTCAAAATTGTTTGGTTTTCTTTTTATTTTTTAAAATGATAGTTTAATTTGTACCTTGCTAATATTTTTTAAAATTACAATTAGATTCTTGTCTCTGCTTTAAACCCTAAAAGTAATGGTTTATTTTACAATAAACAATTTCAGCATGGATTGGTCTCACTACAAGTATATGGGTTTCCTGTAATCAGAACCTTTTTCAGCACTTATATTGTAAAATAGGCAATGTAAAATATATAAATAACATAAAAGGATAAAATCTATCCAAGATGTTTTGGTAAATATATTGAAATATTGTTAATACATTATCTATTAAAGATTTGATATGTATTAGTATTTTTAAAAAATGACATTACATTAAAAGTGTGGAAATTTTGAGAAGTCATTTTGAAATTTAGTTTACAATAATTTCTTACAACAAAAAGAAGATATAATTACCCACCACCTTAAATATTGACAAAAACACTATTTTTGTTATTGATCAAAAGCTATAAAATTGGATAAGCCAATGAATGACAATCGTAGAAAATGCCTTAAGTTTTCATAAGCCAGATCTCCTAAAACATTTTATTACTAATAAAATTAATTTGGTAAAGTCAAAGACTTCATTATAATTTGAATGCTCTTTGTCATTTAAACAGTATTGGAATACTCAATTGAGTTCTTAATCAAAAGCTTAGCATTTCTGCTCAAGCAGAATAACAATTAAAAAATATATAAGTATATATGTATATATATACTATATATATATGTATATATATAGTATATTTATTTTCCACAAGACAGTTTTTAAAAAATGGGGACTCTACATGATTTAAAACAGAAATAGAGACTATATTTTACCCTAAAACATTTTCAACATAAATTATTATAAGGTCACAATTCAAGGGAAATATATGTAATTTATATAACAATTTCAATCATAATATGTAAATCACATTAAAGAAGATTGAGGTACTGCAGTTCAGAAGAGTTCAAATTTCTTCATTGCTATATGTAAAGAAGTCAGTTATCTCTATCAAATAATCTTTTTATTATCAACCATTCGAACATGTGATTTCACTTATTTTTTGCTGTTTTCTTTGATATGGAATTAGAGCTAATACAAATTGGCCTTTTATTTTTTGGGAGTGGCCAAACTGATGTGATTGGGGAGGGGTTGAGAAGTGTTGTTTTTTGTAAAAATTCTTTCTTTAATCATTTCATAGAGGTAAACGTACTTGAATGCTAAATACCTGACCTTTTCAAATAAATGCAGACCTACCTTGATTTTCACAATAAGCCTCTATTAATTTCCATGAGACAATGTTTTCACAAATGTAAGGCAAAACAGATGTTAAATTACTTAAGAGAACTCATAATTTAAATAATTAAAACTAATTTGTGTTTAAAGCTATTTGCAGATTTATTAGAGAAACAAATACAAATATGCATTTCTACAGAACTGTTTTTTTTTTCCAAAATGAGCTTAAAACTTGTTCCACAGTTTTTACTTGTTTATATATCTATGGTAACCCAAGTATTGGCTTCTGTACCACTTGTAATGAGACAATTGCCCTTCCATTGCAATTATAAAAAACTATTTAAAAAAAAATTCGGCACATACACGTTAAATATTTTTCCTTAAAAAAATAATCTAATCAAAATATTGAATACTTTAGATTTAAACAATATTTTATTTACAAATCTGTTTTGATTACTTTATTAATTACACAAGGTAATGCTTCAATTTTCAAGAACAGTTTTTTTTTTTAATATATAGACCAGTGGAATGACATCCTATCTAGTAATATGTACTACACTTCATTTTTTTCAAAATTAACATGACAAGTTTTCTAATACTTTCATTTTTTTTGGAAAAATGTTATTTTATTGGGGCACATATCTGATGAAACAAAAAATAACATGCAGAATTCCAAAAATAATCTGTTAAAGTAATATGATACTTACCCTTTATGTAATAAGACATCTATGAACAACAGTGCATAACAATATTATGTATTCATGTTTATGAGAAACCAAGCAGGAGGCAAAATGAGTTCATTCTGCTTTCTAATCATGTGCAATTTCATATGGCTGTTTGCATCATTTAAATAAAGTGTGTACATTAAATTTCTAAGACTGCATTGCACCCAAAATTATTATGGATAGCCATGCTTGCCCTGTATTTAATGAGTGATGAATTTCTCCTACTAACAGAGTAACTGGTCTCAAATCGTGTCTGTGATGTAAAAGAGTATTAAATTATATTTTCATCTCTTTTCAATTGCTGCCTTGGAAAGCAAGAATTCCCTTCTTGGAGAAGACTTACAGTAAGTAAAATTTACTTAAGGACTCAGTGAGGAATCAGCATGTGAATCAAGAATGCAATATAAGAATGGATTAAAAAAAATGTGATTATCAGTACCTTTGTTGAAATCTATTACCACCATTAAAATTTCCAAGGAAAGATAGGGCCTGTAACATAGGGGTTCCACTCATTGTTAAATTACTAAAATCTACCAATTTAATGCTTTCATACTGTTTATTTTTTTCCAATAGAAAAATAAATCTCATACATTAGAAGTGGTACACAAAAAACTGGGATAAAATTTATCAGATTCTTGATAGCACCATTTACACATTCTTAAAGTAAACATTAATATGCACTTTCTTAGAAAGCGATATAAATATATAATACAGGACTTGCTAACCTCTGTTAACCATCTGAATACGATGGAATAATCTATCTCTACTGTGCAGGTAGGCTGTGCATGGTGGTGTGGCAATATAATTTTAAAAGTTTGTTACAGATGTGATGGGAAGCTGGAAGGAGTCGAATAAGCAGAAAAAAGAGCTTAGATCTATTGTAAGCAATGAGTCGAAATGAGCCGTTACAGGTTAGAATTTATCTTTGTTTCTGATCATTCAATGAGAAAATGACTTCCACAGAAATAGATACATTTAACTGTTTCAGGAGTGGGGTGGGTGAGGTGAAGTAGGATTGAAAGTCCTACAGGTAATAGCAATAACTGGAAGTGCAGACGAAATTGGTCTTCAGTGCAAAGAGGAAGGCAGCCGTTTAAAAAGTCTAGGTGCAATGTTGTGGTGCTGAAAGAAAAGCTCCCAGTGATAAAGGAAAAAAAAAAAACTGCAATGCAACTTCAAGCAGTAATTTTGTGGTGCTGAAAGGACAGCTCCCAGTGTTGAGGAAAAGATCTTGGATCTAGAATGAGGTGTCCAATCTGTATGATAAACAGCACACTGTGTCTCAGAGCGCCCATTCAATCTCAGTAAGTAAATGAAATATTGATTGAAAGTGACCCTGAAACAGAATGCATTAAAAAGACATAGAAAGCTGCAGAACTGAGGTAATTCGTATTCAGCATGTTCACCAGCCTCCCTATAGCAAAACAAGTCTATAAATAGTTGCATTTCATAAGATGTTTGGCCCTTGTATCATCAGTTTTCTCCATTTTGGATCAGTATAGCTGAACAGCCATTGTTACATGCCTACCTGTGGCAGTTTGAAGCCATACTAATTTTCTTCCAGTAAATTAAAGCATCACATCACAAATCAATTCTACATGGTCTATAAATTTCAGAGAATAAGTTTTTAGACAGCATGAAGCTGATTTACACATAATGCACACAAACCCTTATCTGTTACCATAAATTAAAATGTAAATATCTTCAATTTAGCTTTCAGATTTAACTAACATATAACCATGCCAACTAGCAAAAGTTTAAAATTCCCATTTACAATTAAAATTGAACTGAGTGCATTTTCAGCAATACTAGCTAATAAAATACACATAATTGTTTAAATGGTTTGGCTTCAAAGTAACATTAAATTCCAGATGAAATGCATGGGCTCCACAGTGGACTACTGGAATTTTGAAATAAAAGGTTGAAGATTTGCTAAGACTGAACAAAACATTTTAAAGACCCAACATTTGAAATGCTTCTAATACACATCCTAGATTACTTCCTTTCTCTTTTTCAACTAAGTGGGGCCCCAATCTTTGCCTTTGTTCACTGCTGACTCTGAGACAGCATGGTGAAAGAAATTTACATAGATATTATTTACTGTTAATGTATTATAAATGATCTGAGACTTGTGACATGCAAGGAAAAAATGAGACGGGAGACAAGTGATGCTACATGATGAACTAAGCACATTTATAATGATAAAATGAGTAAATATAATAGCGGCAATGCTAACCACTGATTCCACGAGATACACTATTTGTCAAAACTTACACAGCTACAGAGTATCGACGATAAATAGTCATTACCAATTAACACAGTTTACTACAGCTTTTCTCTTTCATTTAAACAAGCATATCATTCCCTTTTAAAATCATTCTCTAAATAAATATTTAGAGATAGAGAACTCTAAATGAAATAACAGTCCAATGTTAAAAACTAAAAAAAAAATGAATCTACTCTTACAGTTTGACAGAAATGAATTATTAATAGTGGAAGGGGAAGGGATCAGGAAATAATTTCAAGTTCTCAATGTCCAAAAGTAAATTGCACAGTAAATCAATATGAAATGAAGAGTCCATATAGTTCAATGAACAAAAGGGAAAGTTCATGAGGACAAAGATCACAGTTCAGAGAGAGGCTGGACGAAATTCAGACATGGAGCATCACACTCATTGTTCTTTAATTGGTTGCACAGAAAGGAGCAGCTGGGATGCCATTTAGCTTGCTAGGATGGACGTAATCAATGGGTTGAAGTTGAGATGGAAGTAATTCTCTTTTGTAATTCAGTTGCTCAGCCAGATGATCCAGAGGTAGCCAGCATTTTATTTTTGTCCATTGAATTTAAGACTGCATGCACAGCATGAGGAGGTGCTTGGGGATGGATGCCCCTATGAGTGGCCTTGAGTGGGCAAACTCAGAGGTTAACAGATGGTGTGTCAAATGGCCTGGACAGTTGGCACTCAGGAGAGGTACAGAAGAGGGTGACAGTTGTTGGGTCTTGGGAACAAAGGCTTACTTTGAAATGACCTGTCAAAAAGCCTGACAAAGGTAGATCACACTACCTCTCAAGATAAACTGCCTCTTCTAAATAAGCATGCAGGAAATACTGTCTGGTTGGTGACATAAAAATGCTCCACAAAACATGCAAATTACCGAGTATTAGAAACTGCATTGGCTGCTAGCGCCATGCTGCAAAGACTCCATCATGGGAGCAAACAGCTAAATCACAGATAGCTTCACAGTAAAATCTACATTCACAATACTAATAGGTTTCTAGTGTTAACAAATTATACACAATTATAAGCTCTTAAAATGCAACATACTTATCAAGCAGTTGCAGATAATGAAACATTATCAGCTATCAATAATTTGTTGGCACTTTCACTTTTGTTTATAAAATTTCCAATACACTGTACCACAGTTATGTGTCTAAACAGTGAGGATGTTAATGGAGTAATGACTGTTCTACTGGCCAGGCGATGGGATCAGTAGTGAATTCAGTGCTTAAAAACAAATGTACAAACCTCTGAAGAGGTGGGACTCCATGTGAGAACTTTTGTTGAACTTACAAATGATGAAGAATGGGCCATGGCCAGCATGCAGCATTATTTCCATTGTCTAGTTCAGATGGAGAACAGGTGCTTTTATTGATCTGTAAACTTACCAATATAATTTTCCACAGTTTTAACCTTTTAAATATTTTACAGTGCTTTTATGCAACTATATTGCTTTTTGATCATTTTAAATTTAAAACTTATTTTCAAAATATTGTCTCCTACTTCACTGTGCCCTAAGCAGGAAGTAAGACTTACATGACAGTGCTTTGGCCTCACTCCATTTTAGGTCACTGACCCCACCATACTCAACCTAACAGTAGTTAATTTAGTGTTATCTAGAACTAATACTGAAAACTATACGCATATCCCTGTCTACATTCAATCATTAAACTACAATAATGCTGGTAAAATGGCAGGCTTAAATCTTACACTAGAAACACCTCTGACAAATATACACAAGCAAAGTATAGAGAACAAAACAGATCAAGAAAAAATTCTTTCTATGAAACATCTGGTAAAACACATATTATTTACATATACACATTGTCAACATAGTCGCATTCATTTGCATAATTATATATTAATAACAGAAAAACTTCACTTCTGCAAAGTACAGTACATCCTTCTTGAAAATGGGGTAAAGGAGGGGTTAAAACAATCTGATGTATAATTGGGGCACTCAACCCACTTTCTGAGGATTGGCAGCCCGCACTCCTTGCTCATATGTGATCCTTTGTGTAATTAAATACTGAGCAGCCTGTGTTGCAGCTGGTGTTCCAGTAATGGTTACCTTCCGATTCCTTGTGCCAGGTACGAATTCTCCTTTTTTGGAGATCTGTATCCTTGCACCAGTCAACTCCTGGTATTCCACTAATGTTTTCCCTCCTTTGCCAAGTATTGCACCAACTAAGTTTTCTGGCACTGCTATTTCAACTACATCCTTTGATCCATCTGTGGATTTTTCTGTTCCTAGAATGGCACTGGCAGCTAGGGGAGAAGCAGCTCCAAAATATCCATTGGTTGCAGCAGTAGCAGCAGCCAGGCTACCTAATGCAAATGTCCCCGCCGTGCCACCAGCTGTGCTGCCACTGGCTGAGGCTTCACTGGCATAGGTGGCCAACAAATTGGCTGCTGCTGCTGCTGGGTTGGCACTGGCAGCTGCTGCAGCCAAGGCCCCTGTTGCTGCTGCTTGGCTGAGACCTAAACCTAATGTGTTGAGATTATATCCGTAGCTGGCTAAAGTATTAAGTGCAGAGGTGATGGCCACCAGGTCATTGCCTGTGAAGCCCGATAAAACTGCTGGAAAGGCTGCAACGCCAGCAAGGTTAGCGTGTCCTAATAGCCCTGCGGCGGCGGCAGCAGTTGGTAACACTTCAGCAGTGTTTGCATAAGGAGATCCGGTTGGATTGGAATTTGCCACTGGACCTGTAACATTGGCATAACTGATATTGAGACAGCTGCCACTCTGTGGATCCTCTTGTATCTTCTGGATGATAAGTTCAACAGCTTTTCGGTTTTGTTCAGGTTCTCCACTCACAGTGACAACCCTCTCTTGCAAGTTGATCCCATCAGGTTTCTGGGAAAGCTGCACCCAAGCCCCTGACTGCTCCATTATAGCCTTCACAGTAGCACCTCCCTTCCCTATTATCAGACCTGCTGTGCTGTTGGGAACTATAATCTTTACCTGTAATTAAAAAAAATACGTATAAATAATACTTCTGTTCTGCGCATACATATTATATTACTTTGCTATCCTAGAAAAAGTAAAATTAGTTTAAACAATTTATGGACGATAGAAATATCACAACTTCTAAAGTGACTTTTGCTGCATTTTAATACAATTATCTTGTAAAATCAGAATTTCCAAAAGAAAAAGCAATTTTCAGTTTAAAATCATTAAAAATTTTCCCAGAGTCTTTGTGCATTGCAGAAGTTATAAGAAATTAGTATGTTCTAAAAAAATGGGTATCAATATACATCAATGGTAACATTTTTATATAGCGCCAAAATAAAAATAATGGTTGATATTCTTCACCTCTTGTAGCTTTAAGAATACCTTTGGTCTAAAACATACAAAAGCAAAGAGTGCAGGATTAGGATGCAAAGTTAGTAAAGATAAAAGCAGTAAAGTTTTAGCTTGAGTCCCTTCGGAAAATTAATTTCATGTTCCTTATCACCTAGCAATTTTTGTGTTATTCAAACCTTACTTGTTTCATGACTAATACTTTCAGAGGTCAACAAAATTGTTACTAGTGGTATTTTGATTTTTCAATTAAACTGACACACAACATATAACTTTATAAAAATAACAGACATTTCTAAATAGTTAAGATAAAAAATTTCAATCACTTTAGGGAGGTGAGGAATGATATTTGAGTATATTACCCAGATGTTCTACTTAAATTTGTAAAATGACTATTTTAATTACAGAGATAATTCTCTTTTTTTGGCAGCCGTAGCTACATTTTAAAAAATAGGGCTTACAACCATATTATCAAAGGTTACTGAAAATTTACTGAAGTCACGGGAATAATTACAACAATACGATGTGACCATATGAATAGAGGCATTTTAGTTAATTTGTATAGAAACATCCATCCACAAAACCTAGCCTATTTGGATTTATTTAATTACAATCAAATACTATTATAAAAAGGATAAAATCAGGAAGGTATTTTTCCTACCCCCCGAAATTAAAATAGAAATATTAAAAATTTTATTTTGGTAGCACAAAGATATGCATGGCACTGTTTTGTGACTCACTGGGAAGATCAAAAACTGGGAGTGCTGTGTCACTGACAAAGCACTAAAGTAATTGCTTTCCTTGTTCTAGATATTAAAACAGGCAGGTTGAAGTGACTTGTTGAAATCTGAGCAGGAATTTAGTTGAGATAGTCTATGAAATATTTCATTAGCTAGTTTTCAGCCAATATTGCCATGCTATATTTAAAACACAGATTTGGGTAAAAATATTTTAAAGAAATGCACCCATGCATTTCTGGCAATTTTGCTCTTGAAGGAATCAAGCAGCAAAACTATAAATTCGAATTCTAGTCTGGGTCACCTCATAAGATATGTTTACATGTATTAACACACATGTACACACACACACAACTTTTTTTCCCACACATATGATTTATAGGAATGGGATTCTGTTTCATTCCAATTTGTCTATAAAATAATTTCATTTTATTGAAAACAATCTAAATTTTCTAGAAACATTTCTTAGGAATGTCAAATATATCCTTCATATTCCTCCTGATTAAGTGCATTCAGTTCCAAGAAGTAGGCTGAGAAATAATTTTTTAAAACATGTTAATTTGTTAATTTTGTTCACAGACATTTTTGTAGAAAATTATTTGTCTGAAATGCTGCAGTATGTTAAAGTATTATAATTAGGAAGTTAAACCATGATTACTTCTTACACTAATTATAAAGATGAATTAGAATCATCCTTACATTTTATCCTGTGCACATGAAGTACTGAGAAAATTTAAGGATTTAAATATCTGAATGTTAAATATGATTATATTTTATAAATAAGTACTTCTTTTTAAAATCAGAACATTTTTTACATAGTTGAAAACATTTATATACTGTCAAACTATAGTTTTTAACATAATTTTTATGTCTTAACATAATTTTTATGAAGAAAAATACATTAGTTAACCAAAACTGTCATAAGAACTGTTCTTAAATTATTTTAAGTTTTAATATCAGTATTGTTTTGCCCAATGTAATGATTACCTGCATGATTATAACCCAAGAAGAGAAGAGCACATGAAAGGTCAACTATGGGAACTGTCCTACTGACTGTCAGTAAAAAGCAATGAAATATATAAATTTATAACATCCATTCTAAAATCACCTTAAGCTTCTATGAGATGTGTGAAGATGACATTAATTTATACTACACCGCACACCAGTCTCATACTATATTTACTGCATCCACAGCTTTTTTGGTAAAAACTCTTGTACTAGTTCTATTCTTCCAAAAGAACTTGCTGATGTGTGCATAACACTGCCATTATTGCACATTAGTTTGTCCTTTCTTTTCTTGTCTTCTCCTTTCCTTTTTCTTTCTTTTCAATATTCAAAAAAAAAAAAATTCTGAAACAACGTATAGTTCAGAAATGGTGTGTGAAGTTCTCATAACCATAAACATCTTCTAAAAAATCTGTCTCTTTGGAAATGGAAAATGACACCATGCCATCTATCTTTATATTAAAGATGTCCTTATAATTTGAATTACTGTCAGACCACAAAAAAAAAGAACAGAAAACAAACTTCATGTAATAAGTACTCTTCCCTGGATTTTAGTTTTAACTATTTGAAATAATATTATATAAATTACTGCCAGCCATAATTGCCATTTTATCAAATACTGATGTGGTTCCCAATTTTTGTTTGTAGAATTTACATTTGTCCATATATAATTACATAAAGGTGGGTTATGATTTAAGAGAAAACATTAATGATTGCACATTAATATTTATAGTAGCACTATTTAACTTTAGATAGTAATAATTCTGCATAAGGTCCCTGACCTCAGATATTAAATTAAAAATTAAAGAAAATATCAGTATAAAAAGTTACTAAATTACAAATTTTTTAAAATGTAAATACTTAATAGCCTAGCCAAGGGAACATGTCACCTAATTTTTATTTTTGACCCAAAGAAATGAAAAACCTCTCAGATTTATATTTTTTTCCTTGAAGACTTAAAAAAAATGTTATCTATTTGCACACTTAATCTAATATGGACACAAAGAGGAAACAAACTCTGAAAAAAAGAAGCTGAGGCAAAAAGAAAAATTGATCCGTGTGCATAATATCTTAGAAAAAGTAGTATTCTATTTCCATCTTATGTGTCAGGTCAGAGCCAAGAAGTGAGGCACCAGTGTGAAAGCTTGGAGATAGTGGGCTACTGAATACTGGGTGGGGTAGGGGAGAGAAAGGGAGGGTGGAAAATTATGTAAGATGGCTACTTGTTTACTTCTTAGACATAGGAATACAGCATTTACTGAAGAAAAAGTCTGTGCACTGATAGTGTTTGCTTCCCCAATGAGATGATAAATAGCAAATTTTAATTATATGTATGGCTTCATTTTCATTGGTGAAGTCTGTCCACATACTGACTCACATAAGTATAGATGTACTTATTCTAAAGAATTGAGAGGAATTAAAAAAAAAACAAAACTGGATCCTAAACAGCATAGAAATTATTTGGTGTAACATATACTAACTAAATCAGATAAGCTGTTGACAGCTACAAATCAGTTTTCAGAACTATTCTATAGTTGCTATCATCAATTCAATCATTAATGGAATGCTTACTGAGTGGTCCAGGCCATGTGTTGGGAGTCAGAGATAAAGGATATATATGACACTGCTCCTGCCTTTAAGGAACTTTTAGATTAGTTGTGGAAAAAGATGTATAAATGTAACAGTGCAGTGAAGTCTTAAAAGTGCTGGTATATAAATACATGAAGAGTACAAAGTAGACACAAAGCCTAACTGGAAGGAGAAGGGGTAAGAAAATCTTTGAGAGACAATGATTATTATGTATCTAAATGTCTTTCACATTTTGTGTTCTAGAAGTATCCTGTTCTTTATCAGACATTCCTGTAAGGTTGACCAGTTAAGTTATCTCTATGTTGGAGAGGTTCCATTCACACCTAAACCTATTTTAATAGTGATCATGTGCTTAAGTATTGTTTTTAAAGAAAAACATACTTAAATTTTCCCTGTTCCTAGATTTATAATTATATATTATCAAATAATTATAAGATTACAATATAATTATGCTAATTTTACTAGTATCAACTGCTTTTCAGAAAAAATAAAATGACTATTTCTCTATTTGCAGCCAGAGAAGAACCTCTATGGGAATCCTATAAAAAGTATTAAAAATACCAAATAGGTAGGTTTTAATGTTGATATGTTTCAATTAAAAATAAATATTAAGCAAAACAAATTTACTCCTTTGCCAAATAAGAACTAAAACTCATTATGGTCTTATAAAACAATGAAAGTGTCTGTAATCATAAGTCTTCATCATCATGGCAGGAAAATTAATTATTTCATAAAGCCATATTTTCATATAAATTCAAAACAAGCTCCATTATAATTTAGGATACCTCAATTAATAGTATGGACTACTTAAGGGCTGCCATATTATATACCATATATGCATGGACTTATATCTATAAAGCAATGCCTATCAATAGTGGATACCTTTCTTTTATTCTTTCATTCAGCCATGCTGATCTTCCTTTTTCTGGCAACAGGCCCTAATCTTCCTTTGGGAAATACCCTCTTTCTCACTCTTAGTGCATTTGCTTCAGGTAAGGCTGACAACCTTCCGATGCTCTAGGAGTGGAAACATAACAAAGCCTGACACATCACAATTTCCATACCCCTGGCAGTTACTGATTTGGGATTGAGCATGTGGCCCAGGATGGTCCAATGAGTTAACCTGAGAATTTGGTAAAACCACTGAGACAGAGATACCTGTGTTTCTAATCTAGTAGAGCACAAGCCTGACATTACTAGTGACTATCTTGCCACCATATGGAAAAAGGAAGAACCTGACTGAAAATAAAGTTAACCTGGATAAAAGGAGTCTACAGAAATGGAGAGAGAAAAATTTCTGACAGCATTTTTGGCATCTCAATCTAATCA